GCCAATAAATCCAAGCACTGGTATTTTTAGGTGCGTCAATGGAGCAAGTGCTGAATTTAAGAGTGGTCCTTAAATTTTATGAAATGCTGGTAGGTCAAAGGATCAATTTGAAGAAGAGTGTGATGATTGGGATGGGTGATATCCCGAATGCCTTACTGGAGGATTGTTCTTCAGCTTTGGGTTGTTTGGTGGGGGGAGTTCCCCTTTACTTATTTGGGTCTCCCTATAGGGGCAAAAGCTTTGGTCTCATCTACTTGGCAACCGGTTCTTTACAGGATTGATAAAAAACAAGCAAGATGGAAGGGGAGGTATCTCTCTCCTGGTGGAAGGATTAATCTTATTAAGAGTGCTCTGTCCTACCTCTCGGTTTATTACCTCCCACATTTAAAGGCCCCCTCTCCTGTGATAAATTCAATTGAAAAATTGCAAAAGGAATTCTTTAGGGGAGTTAAAGGGATTGAGAAGAAATTCCACTTAGTTAAGTGGGATAAAGTATGCAAGGAAAAAAAGATGAGGACTTGGGGATAAGAAAATTGAAGATTTTAATAAAGCCCTTTACGAGAAATGGTTATGGAGATTTGGGTTAGTGAGGGAGACACTCTGGAGAAGGGTGGTGGTTTGCAAATATGGGGCTTTTGGCTTCGGATGGGACCCTAAAGAAGTGAAGACATTTTATGGGGTAAGTGTGTGGAAAGGGACTACGAGTTTCTAGTCAGCTTTCCTTAAGGTTGTTTCCTTTAGAGTTGGTGATGGATCAACAATTAAATTTTGGGAGGATGATTGGTTGGGTATTGGAAAGCTGTGTGATCATTGCCCTCACCTAGTGTTTTAAAAGCGCAAGGTGTAGGGACCAATTTGCGCCCGAGGCACAAGGTGAGGAATGCACCTTTTTGAAGCAATGTACAATAATCGAAAAAATGCCAAAAAATTCAAAAAATGCAAATAAAATAAAAAATATTAAACATAATATTAATAAAAAAGATAAACTTAAGTTTTAAAATAAATGTTTTAGAAAACCTATTATCTAAAATTAAAATACATAAACATAACATGTAAAGCGTATTCAAATGAAAATTTAAAAATAAAATCAAACATATAAAACATTTCCGAACATGTAAAACCCATAATCTCTTTTTTTCCTCAATTGCATTACTTCAATTAGCTAACGTGATGTAAAACATATTACATTCCTGATTCTACAAGCCGTCTTTGCCACACCCCTTGAGGCAAAGCTCAAACAAGTTCATTTTAGGGTATTAATTCTTAGTTCTCGTAGAAAAAACTAATGATTTTATAATTTTAATTGCTTGTTAAGAAGATATTTTATTAGGGTGAATGAATGAACAACATTATCAAATAGGGGGTTCTCAGATCTTATTTGGGCTTGCCTCGAGGGGTGTGGTACGAGGGTTTGGGGGCGGAGCCCCCACCCCAATCGCTAGGTTCAAAAAAAGCAAAAAAACGTGAAATTTTCAAAAGGTGCATGCTTGGGCTGAGGCCCAAGGCGCATCGGGTGCACACCTAGGCGCACTAGGTGTGCGCCTTTTGAAAGGGCTGCACCTAGGACCTAGGCGAGGTGCTTACCTGAAAATGCTCCTCGCTTGTGTGCCTAGGCACACCTTTTAAATCACTACCCTCGTCTGTATAGATTGAGTATGAAGAATTGCTTCATTGAAGAGAATTTTGAGATTAATCAAGGTAGAGCAGTTTGGTGTCCAAAATTTAGCTCTCTATTTGATTGGGAAATTCAAGAGTGTGTAGAGATCTTCTAGCAAAGTTACAATCTGTTGAGCCTCAGGTGGAAAGAAAATATTCAAAATGGTGTAAAGAATTTTGCTTTTAGTCAAATCTTTCTAACAATCCCTCTCAAGGTCAAGTGGAGAAGTTTCAGGGTTCAAAGGCATTTGGGGAAACCCTTTTCCCTCAAGGGTGGAAGCTTTTGCTTGGCTAGTGGCTTTTGATAGTATTTTGACTTTGAATCATCTTCAAGACAGAGGCTTTCACTTAGCTAGTAGGTGCTATCTTTGTGAGAATGCTTTTCATTTGCTGGTTGAGTGCTGTTTCTCCAAGTTCATTTGGGGCTTTTTCTTCAGGCCATTCAAATCTGGTGGGTCTCTCAATTTGGTGGAGATATTCTCTAAATGGCCTAAGATAGCTTGAAATGACAAGGCAAAGATCACGTGGAGTTGCATTCCTTTTGTAGTTTGGTGGGAACTTTGGAAGGAAAGGAATAGAAGAATTTTTGATGGGAAAGCTCGCTCAAGGGAACATATAACACTTCTTTGTGGCAAACAAATCATGGATTGGATTCTGATTCTTCCATAGTTCGAAGGAATTACAAAGGATGATTTTGGTGCTGGATTTTGGAATACTTTACTTGGCATCATTGCTTGTTTCCCTTTGTTTTTTGTATAAACCATGTATTCTGTATGATTTATGTTTCTTTCTTTGTGTTTTTTTCCTCTTTTTGTGCTTCCCTTTGTAGTGTTGTCTTCCAGTGATACCTCATCACTTGCAGATGTACTTTTTTATATTAATAAATTTTCTTTTTTATTGATTACCAAAAAATGTATTAATATAGTAAGGAAAAACAGGGGATGACCCTGAGAAATGCAAAAAACTATACAGTTAGTGAGAAGAAACCATGGTCACCTTGCACATGAAGATTGAGTTCATTTTATGGATTACTGAAATGGTGAAAAACGATATTATCCAGTTGTGCTTGAAATATTGTCAAACTATAGTCCATTACACAGAAGTTTTTGTAGAGAGAAGTAGAGTACAACCTGGTGTACTTCAACATCAAGGAGGTGTCTTCCTACCAAAGATTCTCCCAGAACCTGATCCTACCCAAGGTTTAAAATGTCGATGTCGATGGAAATGTCGCTTACCAAAATATAGAACATATGTCGGAATGTCGAGGGGAAATATTGTAAAAATTAGAGACATTGTGGAAATACTATGAAATGTGTGGAAATATGCAATGATATTTTGTAAAATGGTAAAAGAAGCATTAATACATATTCTAGACTATTATCTTATTCCCAACCATTATATAAAGCTAAGAAACTAAGATCATTAACAAATTAGTAAATGATGATTTACTGATTTATTATGCATTTTGATGTTTTTACAAGGTTATCTGATATTTTCTTTTCTTATTTTTAATTCTGATTTATTATAAATTCTAATATATTTATTTCACACTAGTAAATAGAAGTAAATTTATTCTGATTTTTTAAATTTTAAAGTTATAATACATTATGTTTTATTATAAATTTCATAAACTGATTCTCCTTTTCGTAGTATTAAGATTATGATAAGTTCTGATTTCTTATAAAACTTAATGAATTTATTATGATTTTTAATTCTAAATTTATAATAAATTATGATTTAGTATAAATTTTAATAAATTTATTCTGATTTTTATATTAAATTAAATGTAGAATATGATTTATTATAAAATTTCATAAACATTCTCTGATTTTAATAAATATTTAAAAAAATACTAACTAGTTAATATTTTGTTACTTGAAAAATATTTAATGTTTTATATTATAAAGTAATTAATTTATTCCTTTGTTTTTATATTTTGTTAATTCTTTTTTATAAATATTTTATTTGAATATTAAATAGAAATTATTAATGGAATAATTTATATTAATATACTGTATTATATTAATATAATATACTAATATATTATATTATTAATGTACATTAGTCGACATCCTATCGACATAATAGGAAAAACTGTCTTTTTTTTGGTTATTTGGACTGATTTGGTTGACATTTCCGAATATAAGAAATGTCGACCGAAATAATGTAATTTTTATATTACCATCCATTTTCATGTCGGTGAGCCTCGACATCGACATATGTCGAGCAACATTTGAAACCATGATCCTACCTCCTTTTCAAAGGTCATATATACTGTATTATATTAATATAATTTAATAATATATTATATTATTAATGTTTATTAGTCGACATCCTATCGACATAATAGGAAAAACTGTCTTTTTTTTTGGTTATTTGGACTGATTTGGTTGACATTTCCGAAATATAAGAAATGTCGACCGAAATAATGTAATTTTTATATTACCATCCATTTTCATGTCGGTGAGCCTCGACATCGACATATGTTGAGCAACATTTGAAACCATGATCCTACCTCCTTTTCAAAGGTCATATGTTATGTACTTAGATGGAATCTAGGATAGCTTAAATAGCCATCCAAGGAGGGGTAAGTGTTGCTCATGAAGTCATGCTGCTAGATTAGTATCCAAGACATTGGACTTCTCCCTTTAAGTGCTTCTAATCATGGAATGACATATCTTAGGAAATCTCCACAACCATTTTCTAAGGAAACCTATGCTGCCTAGGCACCAATCTCTTAGCTTCTTATAGACTGTCTCTCAATTAATCAGGTGTACCTTCTTATCATTTGCTGGTCCCAAAAGTAGATAATGCATTATCCTTATATCACTTTCAAGGAGCTTTGAGCACCAAAAAGTACACTGGCAGTTGGAAATTGATGATATGAGTTTTCATTCAACCTGGTGGTTTTATCCTCCAAATAATAGATTTAAGGCCTCATAATTGGAATACCATTATTTTTATTTTTACAACTTAGTTTCGCTGCATGTCCTAAGGGAATCTATATTCATTGCTTATTTCTTTTAATAACATGTATTCAGTTATTTACAAAAAAATATGAGTATCTTGTTCTGATTGGTTAGAAGGTCAGCAAGAATATTAGCTGATACTTGTGCTAGGGAAGGGGTCAACAGGGTGTGATTTTATGTGGGGACTTCCATTCAAGGATAGGTAGTTTTATGAAGGGCTAGGTAAGCCAGAGGGCTCTTTATTACATAATTGAAGGTTCTAAAAGCTCAGTTGTTTCTGTACTTGTGTACCTTTCTATAAATTATTACTTTATTAGTAAGTCTTTCCGATCTGTTAATGATAAAAATAATGTTTTTTTTTTCCTTTCATTGTAGGTCATGCCGAAGCCGTTCTTTCTGTTGCCTTTAGTCCTGATGGGCGGCAATTGGCCAGTGGTTCTGGTGATACAACAGTCCGTCTGTGGGACCTTAACACACAAACTCCATTGTACACATGTACAGGTTAGATATGAATGCCTTTCTTGAATTGCTTTAGGATTTTAATGACTTGGATTTTCTAACAGCTAGTTATAGTCTTGGTGTTATGTGATTAAGTATGCGAATATGTCTCTATTTGTATATAGTTAGGCTGGTTTCAAGCTACCTAAGGGCTAGCTTCAAGCCCAACCCCAAAAATAGAAAATGCCAAACTTTTGGGTCCACCCAACCCAAGGACTGAAAATCCAAGCCTTGCTTGTCTTAAATTGCAATCTAAGTTGGTCCAAACTCAAGTTGGGTTTGCCTAAGTAGACCCCTATGGACCGTTGACCACTACTTAGATAGAAAGCAGTTTTCTTTCCGAGTTAGTTTAACTTTCTATTCTATTTCCATCATTAAGAAAAATAACTTTATTTATCACATTTATTTTTTTGACATGATAGATACATATTTTTTTTATTAAAAATTCCTATATCTCTAGTAATTCTATGCATTTATCTTTTTGAAAATTTTTATTTTACCCATTTGACCTAAAAGGTTAAACCATTAATCCAATACTTGAATAGGAAAATGTTTTGTTTTTGGGTAGTTTTTAAATTTTATATTTCAATTCGATCATTGGTAAATAATTCTTCTTATTTATCATACTTATTTTTTAATATTATAAATATGAGACCATGGGTTCACCCATTTAATTTGATGATTTTAACTACATACATGCCATTTGAATTAAATGATGGTTATGTTTTCATATAATTTTAAATACATAGGTTTTGTATTCTTAAAATTATTAGATATTAATTTATTTAGTATAATTTATTAGTGAGAAATCAAAATACCTCAAATAAAGGATATGATCATAGAGAACAAGATTTAACACCTTAAATATAGGAGTTAGGAAAAATCCCTTAAGAAGTCCAATTGCTTTGGGTTGGAGCTACTTTTTAATAGCCCTTTTATTTCAATCAATCGAGGCAATTTAATAGCCCTTTCATTTCAAATTATTACACTATTAACTGTCTTAATTATGGTGCTTTGTTAAAGCACACATTTGTCCCCAAGAAATTCAATGATTAAGGGGTAATTTATGTCCAATGAAAATTCCAGAAAACACCATATTCACACTTTTATAAGTAGTATAGATTTTTGAAAATCAAATATAAGTTGTCATTTTATCATTTACTGATTGTAGAGAACACTGATGTGAGCCCCACAGCTACGGTCCCACTGTGCTCGTAGGGTAGAAGGTGTTCTAGTCTTCCTAGGGTTAGCTATTGGTCATTTAGTTGTTTCAGTTGTTATTTATTTCAGTCTTTTTTTGTTCTATTTGTTATGTAAAGACTAAGGGCAGATCTGTCCTTTCCATGTACTGAGCATAACCTATAAATATTAATTAAAGTGGCGGCGACAGAACATTAAGCTTCTGCTCCTTTTTTCAACTCTTGTGTTCTACTGCTTCTCCTCCCTCTTCCTCCTCTTTTCTCTTTACCTTTCTTCTTATTTTCGAACCTGAAATCCATTAGGGTTCAAGACTGATAACAGTCCTGAACTTCTACTTGGTATCAGCGCTAGGGTTTCTCATGTGAGTCTAGT